ACGTCGAGTATCGATTCACGTTCGACTCGCAGAGAATTTTTGGAGGAAAAATACGAAGGAGGGCCCTCGATTCCGGCTTAACGAACCGATAACGAGCATTTCTTTATTTATATATTTATTTTTGTTTATTTTATTTATCAGGCGAAAATTTAAGAATAGCAATCAAACATGTAAACTATGAAAATATTAACCTCGAATTATTAATAATGCTAACATTGATAATACACGATATATCTTATTTTCCAAATTGATTTTTTAGAAAATGGAATAAGAAAATCTTGGTGCCTATTTGGGTGAAGATCAACGCCGTAAGTCACATAACCTAAAACCTGCGATTCTCACGGGCGCTGTGCGCGTACTACGCGAGCTACAAATATCGACCACGACAGGGAACGATCGTTTTTCGAAGAAACTTTATTTCAGTTGAGTTGATAGAAGACTGGGATCATAGTTTGACCAGCGATGACCTAGAATGTCTGGTGGAAACGCGGCGAAAGCGAACAGGTACCCGCAGAGAGGCAAAGCGATAACAAAGCTCTCGCGGGAAGGCTGAATTGTCGTGGAATCCTTTGAAATACGGCTGTGCACCGTCTCGGTGTGTTTCTTCGCCGGCTGGTTGCGAGATTTCCGTTAGCCTGGGCGAATCTTTTTCAACAGCATGGCTACTCGACCCTTTCGAATTATCGATCTTCATTGTTGGGGCCGCGGATGCGACCAGATTATTATGCGCCAGAAAGAAGCCTCGTTGCCGCTCCTGTTTCTTTTTACTACGCGGTCTTTTCGAGCATCGGCCCGTGTAAAGCCGCGTGGAGTATATTGAAAATTTCTGATCGAATAATCCCAATTTCCATGTTCAAATACTCGCTGATTTTTTTAAATATCTGTCTTCAAATCGTTGCACTTACAAACGTCTTTACTTCCTTATATTTTGTATTTTTCATTTTATTTATTATATTTTGCATTTAACAGTTTATATCGTATTTATTATCTTGTATACTTTACAGTTTATATTCAGTATTTTACTTTACAGTATTTTCCAATTCACATCTATTTCCTTATTTATACTGTCATTAATATTAAAACAGGATCATGAATTTTTGAAGACCACCAGTACTCATTTGTATATAAATCACTAAATATTATATATTTAACATTGTATATTTTATTTATTCTATTTTATAATGTACATTTATCGACTTATTTATACTGTTATTAATATTATAAGAGGATCGTAGAACTTTGAAGACTACAGTTACTCACTGAGAGAAATAAAGGATTCTGAAGCAACACCCATTGCCTCAGTGTAAAATGTAATATTATATCTCCTTGTTTCGATATTTAATAAGCTTAATTTCGTTCAATAAACTAGGAGTAATAAGCTTTAAGAGGCTTAAAAACATCTACAAACCAAATAACATAATCGAATTGCAACATAAATAGCGAATTCGTGTAATTTCAATTAACAAAGGGTACAATTGCTCTCGCATAATCTATAATTAATCGATAAATCAGTTCATAATCATTCAGCAACGCAACCATCCATAATAATGATAATCCGAAACAACTTTTGTTCTCGACAAACTAAAATTACATTTTGATCTCCTTATTAATAGCAATTTGAGCAACGAGATTCCATCAAGTAGTATAACTCGATATTCGCAGCGACATACTTTGCTGGTAGTTACTATATCAACATTTTCCGGCTCTATTCAAAATTTCTCGCAAGAAATTATCGTCAGCGATAGAAAATGCAATTAAATTACCCTAACCGATGAAATTTCCACGATGGAATTATGCGAAAAATAATTTCGCTTTTATTCCCAAACTATAATGCGATCTAATTAAATCTGAATTAAAATGATCGTCGGGATCGCGTTTCATGCAGCGTTTTTAAATGTTATTTAGAATCTTTCGCGTGGTTTTTCAATAAAACCGCCCACGCTCGAAACGGAAACCGATTAACGATACGACGGGACGGAACTTTACGAGCCGTTGAAATATTGCTTTCTAAAAGCAATATTGTTCCTGAACTCTATACTGTATAAAACTTTATCCATTATTTCATTTGCCGTATTTAACGGCGCAGCAACGAAACGTTTCGCGGTTGCCTTGACCGATCGCCGCCGCTACATCGATCTATAAATCGAAAAATTGTTACAAAATAGAAAGATTAACTCTCCCAACATTTAACCGTGATAAAACTGTCCCATAACGCAAACGAAAATTTTTGAACCACGTTTTGTAGAAGAAAAATCGATTTAAAAAAAAAAAAAAGATTTTTTTTTGAAAAAAGTAAACTTGATAAAAATGGATTGAGTTACGAAATTGAGTTATACCTTCATTGCAAATTAGTAAAGTTTTTCGCGATAAACTATTAATCCACGAAATTTATCATTCTGGGGAATTTTATTTTGATATTGTAATAGAATTTAAACATCGACTACCAATTTTAGAAGGATAATGTAAGCGAGTCAATTCGCATAATTAAAAAATGTTATAAAGCATGATAATCAATATATATCGTTGATTAAATAATTTTTATACGATGACAATAATTTTGGATACTATTTTAAAAAGAAGAAACAAACGAAACATTTATATTATTCGATCTGATATTTCCGACGTCGAAATGTAAAAAATGATTTTTAATGACGAGAAAAATTTTATTCCTAGATGACATTTTACGAAAACACTTTTGGTCGGGCTGAATAGACCCGTGGTTCTATTCGATTACGAGAGACGCGACGCTTCGAAGAGTAAATATCTCGCGAAAGTTTCGCGGAATCAGCAAAATTGCACGGCTGCACAAACATCTGTGCCGGTCTGCGCTCGGACATCGTATTTGTCCATCAAGTTTATTTCCGCGTGAACTGGGTAATTTATTCCCGTGCACATTCAATTTCATAATTCCGCCGCTGGGAGTTTTCTCGGTCGCAAAAAAGCGCGCGCTTTTTAAACCGGATATCGTCCTTACGCGTTATTTATCGTCGTGTCGTCATCCTAAAACAGAAAAAAAATTCAAAAATAAGCAAGAATGGTGTGTAATTCGATTGTAAAAAGAAACTGCATTCAAAATTCTAGAAATTTTTCTCGTTTAAATATCGCATAATTATTTCCTGAAAAAGCAACATGGAGGATATTTATTATCGCGTTAAATCGTTTGGAACCGAAGCATCGTTAATTTGTTAATTGACGTGGATAAACTGTAGGTTTATACGAATAAAAGAGAGATACAGTGTCGAAAAGTTGGCCGCCTTAAGAACGCGATGCTGGCAGCTGTACATAATCAAAAATGGAACAAAAGGAGTGCTCCACTTTCGACCGATTGTCCGGAGTTTGAAAGAAAGTAATGTTGTAGAAAATCAGGCCGTTATACGGCCCGCTAAAGTGAAATGCGAACTGCTTCATTCAAAAATTGTATTTCTAATCTGCAACTTCACTCTTATCGTAAATTACAATACACCAGATAGGCGAATTTAAGTGTTCTCATTATACTATTTTTTTAAACGAATTCTTTCTAACGCGAATAAAAATTAATTGTAATAAAAGATCGTATTAATGGTAGCAATTATGAGGTCATATATCTCTAGATTCAATTTGGAGAAAATTCTCCATAATCATCGAATCTAGAGATTCATCGTATTTGAATGTTTGGAATTTTGAAGAAATCTACCATTACATTTTAAAATTGGAAAAAGTTATTTCCATGCTTGTAAAATTTCGGGATTTACCTTTGGAAAAATTCTCAGATTTTTCGTTATAAATTTAAAATTTTTGTGTGCTACATTTACAGCATCGGAGTACAAGAGGCCGTATCCATAACCTAAACCTTCGCTGAGAACCACCTTTATACCGTTCACGTCGAGAAGGCCCTGCCCCTTAATCTTGAGGTTTGGGAAAGGAACTATAACCATATAGTCTACTTAGGTAAGTCGGTTCTCGTAACCTTAGGCTCTGTGGGCGAACTAACCTACATAACCTGTATATATAGCATCACATTTCTTGAATTATTCTGTGCTCTTTTTAAATTGTTTGTTTTATACGTACCTAAATTTTTAAGGGATGTGATATATGTGTATTGTTTGGAAATAACTAAAAAAAAATTCACGAGTAAAGGTACATATATAAGTATACGTATAAAGTCGAAAAATTTCTTTCATAAAATTCGAACCTATCGTAATACTTGTAGAAATGTACTTTTTATCTCCCGTATGGTATAGCTATACAATATCGTTTTCATACAGATGTCATATACATTTCGAGAGCATTCCAAGATGCACTGGCTATGCTTTTCTTATCTCACCACTATTCTGTAGCATCGTATACGATGCTCCTTAACGATATCAGTGGCATACAATAGCGTTGGACGTTGTTTATAGACACGCTATTATATTTTGAACGGAAGAGATTTTTATGTAGCATTCGTTAGGAAATAATATATGAGCCTTGTGGAATTGTGGTTTTATGACATATAATGCTTAGCACGACGAATTATATACGTGAAAAGAACTTTGATAAAATAATTATTTCTATTTTCGAGTGTAAAAATTATTTAATTTGCCCATCGAACAAAAGAATTAAATCATTTTCTTGACTAATAATGTTCAATAATATGTGTCAATAGGCGAAATTGTTGCAAAAGAAAAGAAAATTTGTATCGCTGTCTTTCGAGTAATTTTATTTATAATTTATTACTCTATCGATAGTATTAACAATCGATAAAGAAGAATACTTCCTACATCTACTGAAAGTAATTTATTACCATATGATAATAATAATAGATAATAATAAAATAATAATAAAAATTTCATCATAAATTTAAAATAAATAATTAGATTTATAGTTAGTTATTGAATCAATATATAAATACATAAATTATCTTATCCACTTCATCTAGTTTCTTTTATCACTCGCAAAGAGCGCTACTAGACGATTAATAACACTGGAGCACATATGTTCATTCAGTGACTTGCATTTCATTTGGAAAATTGTATTTTTCATTTAGGTTTACACGTGTCATACGTATTGGTTGTGAAAGTATTTTAAACATGGATAAGAATTTACTACGATCTTTGGATTTATTAAAAGAGAATGAGAAACAAATACGAAATGACGCAGAACATGCATTATTAACCGTATGTCAAAATATTTTGGCGCATCCAAATAACAAACAATATCGGGAAGTAAAGCTTGATCATCCTATAGTTACCGCAAAATTGCTACCTGCTCTTGGAGCTATCGAATGTTTATTTGACATTGGTTTTGTTGAGGTAATTATAGCTAAGAGAAACAGTATTGATTTGGTAAATTTTGTAAAATAATATGCATTTTTTTTTATAGACCACTGATTGTCTTTCTCTACCACAAGAAGCACCACTTTCAAAATTACAAGCTCTACAAAATTTGCTTAATAAAAGCTCTCGTACAAAAATATCTGTTAAGAAAAATGCAACATTATACAATTTGCTACCTCCGACATCTCTAGAAAAAGAAAAGAAACTTTTCAAATTTATTATATACCACTTTCAAAGTGTTCTGCGGTATGAAGATGCAAGTTTGCAGGAAAAAGCAAAGAAAGTAATCCCCATTGTAGATCTTGAAATTGCTACTATGACAAGAATCAGACAACTGCATAAGTAATAATCTATTTTATTCTATAGTGTAGACTTATTTTTGTTTCTCAATGAATTTTTTGTTACAGACATGTTAAGTTACATCAAACTTGTCCAACTGAGGGTGTTGAAAAACAATACAGTGAAGATGATATAGATGCTAAAGACTTATTCCTCATGGAGCTATTACATTGGTTTAAATATAAATTTTTCACGTGGGTTGATAGTCCAAAGTGTACTGCATGTTTTTTAGTTTGTGAAAAACATGAAGTGATACTGTCTGATGATCCCAGATGTTCAAAAATAGAAATACACAAGTAATTCGATATATTTTAATTCAAAAAATTATTTTTGTTGAAATGTAACTAAAATTAAACATTGTTTTAGATGTACTAATTGTGGAACACTGGTAAAATTTCCTCGTTATTCTGACCCGGAACCATTGTTAACTCGAAGACGTGGACGATGCGGCGAATGGGCGAATGTGTTTACGCTTTTTTGTCGAACACTAGGATACGATGCAAGAATTATACATGATCGAACAGATCACGTTTGGACAGAGGTGTGTAATGGTCACTGCCCTTACATAAATGGAAAATATGTGCAAAGGTACTCGTTAACTCATTGTAGTATGAAAATTGTTCATACGAGTGTTTTCATAATTGTGTTCTCTAAAAAAATCATCATAAACGTCGAGGTAATTGTATGATAGATAATATATCAATAACTTAGGTATGGTCCATACACCAAAAAAGATGGATTCATCTAGATCCATGCGAAGATATCATGGATAGACCATTGATGTATGAAAAAGGTTGGAGAAAAAAACTATCCTATATAATAGCTTTTTCAAAAGACGAAGTACAAGATGTTACATGGCGATATACGTGTGATCAGCTAAATGTAGAGAAAAGAAGAAATATTTGTTCGGAAGTTAAGCTATTACAATTCATTGAATCGTTGAATAAATATCGTCAATTTTCTCCAAACTATAGTGCCTTTCGTAGGCAATACGTGATAAAACGAAGGCTTTTAGAGCTCGCGGAATTGATATATGTGCCCAATCAACAAGATTCAGATGATGACGAGAATTACAAAGGGCGATCCACGGGTTCTTACGAATGGAGACTAGCGCGGGGAGAAATTTCTAAGGTACAGAAATGTTTGAGTAATATAATATTTTTTAACAGTAATTCAAAAATTTTATTCACACAATAAGATATTGTTAATTAAATTTTTCAGTCAAGTTCAAAAATAGGATATTCTTGGGATATTTCGAAATACGGAGAGTCATTTCATCTGCAATACTCCATCGTTAAAGATATATATACGATAACAGATAATGATGGTAAAATATTAATGGATATGTCTGATTGGCAAAATGGAGTGGATGAGATAGAAGGTGGAATGTTCCGTAAAGTCGAATACGATTGGAAAATCGTCTATTTATCTCGTTCTCTAACAGCCATTTCCGGTAATATAAAATGGTGCTTCGTAGTTGAGAATCCAAATCTATACATAAGAACGTTCCATTTACAAGCTACTATAAAAGAATTTAAAACTGGTAACGTGTCGTGGAAGATAGAAGCATTTTTTGACAATGCAAATCAAAATAAATCTGTTGTTTTACCTATTAGCGATTGTTCTGATTACTCCACGGATCAATTGAAAGGAACAGTAAAATTAATTCTCACAGCAACTGTTTTCGGTGGTGAAGATGATCAAGCATGGCAACATGCACAACTTTTTAGACAAAGTTTGGAAACTAAAGATGATCGATCTTTAGTAATAGACATTGAATTGGAAAATCGGTAATTCTAGAATCGAATTTTATCCTAATTTAATCGAAAGATTTTATGTTTGATATAAATACTTTAGCCATGTTTTGTGCATACTTTAATAATGCTGCATTAGTAGTATATTAGATCTTAATAAATATGGTTTTTATAGAAAGGACATATCTAATGATTCACTTCTGGAATACATACAATCATTCCATATTTAAAATTTCTTCTCTTTTGAAAAGAAATATACTTTTAAGTTTATATTATATAATTAAATTATAAGAAATTTTTCGAGATTTGTGTAGTAAAGCCTGAAAATGTTTAATAAATAAAATTATAAGATTAAGTTGTTGATTTATGTTATAAATAAATGTCATTATGATTTTGTAAGCCTGAAAATTTTTATTTAATATATAAAATAAGCGAACTAGTAATAACATTTTTTGGAGACAATTCATGTCCGATAGATGTTACGCAATTTTTAACAATGATCTTTCAAGCACTGATAATATATGAACACTATTATCTTCACATATGTATTTTTTTTTTTTAATACATATTCATCCGATAATATTATATAAAAACAGTAGCTTATAACTGTTGTATTATCATAATCACTTACATATGCTCCAAAATTATACATTCTTTTCTACCACTTTTCTGTTAATTTTTCATTTTATGTATAATAATAATAATACATCGTCGTGTTTCATTGAATTTGCAGTACGTATTACTGCAAATAAGATGTTGAAAAATACTGACGTAAAATAATTATATTTATGTAACATATATTTGCAACAAAATTTAACTTTGTATAATTTGATCAATTTTGAAATGATATGAGAGAAGTTAACGAAATTATAAACAATTTAATACAATGTATAGATTAATAAAACTAACAGTACAAGTTGCCGATGATAATATTATCACGTTAAACGAAAAATATATTGCATTCGAGCTCAAGAATGCAAGAGGAACGTAAAGTATTTATATTACAACATATAAAGATACAGGGTGAAACAACGTTACTGAAACACATAATTGGAATAGAGTATAGAGTGCAATACGTGCTAAATATATTTTTTTATGATGCATATTATTGTGTTGCTTGAACTAATCTCTCCACTACGCGATATAATTTCAATATTACCGAAATAATTTCGGTTTAACGTTATTAATTTACAAATCATTTAGCATATTTATCCCAGCACCAATAAATTCATTAATGCCGTCGTGGTGTTATGTGTACGTTCACACAATTAATATACTTCATACATGTACATACAAAAAATATTCAATTATCTACATTGTTACAAAACATTCAAGATTATTTAAGTCAAGTCAGCCAAATATCTTGTTGTATTAATACTAAATAATGTTACTTGAAAAAGATGTATAAAATAACAAGTAGGCACTGGTATTTTGAGACCTTACTTGATTTACCGTAACCTCCGTGACTGTTTGGTCATCATATTTATACCACCTAAAAAATCCACGTAATTGATGCAATAGAAATAATATTCTAATAATTATTGCTTTCTTTCCGCCGATTTATTATTTTAAATCTTCATATAGGACAAATATAAAGAGTCGAAAAATATTTACTTACTTATTCTGAGCAGCGTTTTTACAGAAGGCTGTGTAATGACCACCTTCCATAGTTCCATAATGATTAGACATTGCATACAAACTGTAACTGTAGCTGTAACTACGAATATTTGAAATCGTGGTGCTATTGCTATCTGTCACCAAATATGGCTTTAAATTGAAGTCCGTGAGAGGAAAATCAACAGCAGTGTTCCGTTTTTCTAGCCATCCACCACTCTCGGCGAAGCGGTTTAAATGTATCACTATAATAGGCGCCAATTTTACAAAGTCGAACTTCTTCATAGCTTCTCGGGGCGTATGGCACTTTGGACATTTCCATCCTAATACCTTTTGCCCACTCACAAATTTTAGAATGCAGTCCTGAAAAAGCAGGACATATACATAAACAGGAATTGTTTGTAATATTCAATTTTGAAACCAAAAATTGGGAAGCAAAATCTTACATTCAGTGTACATCGATTAGAATGAGGTAACGATGTTGTCAAGCTATTGAAAGTCTCATATGTAGTGCTACTTTGCTTGCAAAAGCTGCATGTAATAGTAGATCTCAACTGTCCGAAGAACAAATCGGATATTATGGATCTTTGAGATCCCATCGCTTTGTCCCAGGCTTTTTCAGCGACCGTCATTTCTAAGGGCACTTTACAATTCTGTAAGTACAAAAATAAAATTGTATAAATATGAAAATTTAAACTAAAATCGTATTTGATTTAATATATAACGACAACATAATATAAATATACAATAGAACGTTACCTTTTTTAAATCATTATGCATCCAGTCCAAGAGAAATGTGAGAAACTCGTGAGAGTCCTGTTGCTCGTAACTATCGAATTGTAATTTGTATTGTCCCACGGCGATCTAATAATTACAATATACACTTTAGTGCATATATAAAAATATGCCACGCATAAATAAATAAATAAAAAACATTACATTTTCTACAATACAATTTTTCAGTGAAAATTATTTCTAAAAAATAGGAACAAAAAAGTTAATAAAAAATTTAAGTGGAAAAGTATAAAAAATAATTTTTTTCTTGTAAAATTAATAGAAAAATATCAAACCTTAAGATCATGAGGTGATATGCTCTTATATTGACCTCTCCACAGTGCTTTAATTACTTGAGCTACTTCTTCCACAACTTGCCCTTGAGTATTATTTTCGTTATTCAAATCGTCAGCGTATAAATTGTCCATAAAATATTTGGCTAAATGCGTGGTATTACTTAAACACTGTATAATACTATTCATATAACACGAATTGCCTAAATTCTTTAATCCCGTTATGCCCGGATGCTGTAACACAATAATATAAAATTCACTGTACCAAATGTTTTATATTTCATTCGCACATGTTGTTTAAAAATATATAAATTATTTTAAATAATTTTTATATATAACAAAACAAAAGATTCATTTTTATTTTATTTTTCGATTTTTATCCTATTATATGATTACATTATTTCCAATATGTGTAAATTACCTTTTTAAGATAATAAACATTGAAATTCGGCACAAGTTTTCTAGACAAATTTACCATGTTTTGTTTAAACTTTATTTGATCATAACTGTACACGTTCCTCTATAGGTGTCAAGATATAAATGAAAGACTGATCATGATTGATCATTTTACAATTAAAATCTTGCTGATTATTACATTCACAAATTTGCCGCGAATTAAAATAATCGTAGTGTTTAATTGAAGTTATGTGTATGAACGTCACTTAGCAGCATGTGGTGACGACAGTCAAACAAATACTAATGCATATTTGTGACGCGTTGCTTCGTAAAGGTTCGAGTAAATTGGATTCAGAAGCCGTACAGGCAGAAAATGTTTCTATGCTCACCTGTTTATCCACCACGCAGAACCGAAAAATCACGCAACTTTATTTTACAGTGAATTGATTTCCTTATTATTATTATTATTCTAATAATCAGTACATACTTAGAAGTTAAGTATATATACGTATTTCAATTAAAATACAGTTTAAATGTACTAAATAAACTGTATATATCAAGTATGTGAAGTTCTAGTTTATCCACGTGGATCGCAAACACGTGACTCCTAGCGATTATCGTCAGCGATATAAATGTTATATACAACTTTATATGATAATAACGAAAGTTGATTAAGTAATGATATTTTCAAAAATGCCTTTTTGTTTATATTGCCTTATTTCTTCTTTTTTGAAATTTCTAATAATATGCTTGTACTTACAACACTTCCATGAACAGGAGTCATTCTTTCCTCGCGATTTGCCCAACTCAAATGGGACATTTTATTATCAGTATAAGTTCCATTTTTATTGTATGAGATTTGTGGTTTCGAACTTCTGTCCACTTGTGGTGCTTTATGATCCGACAACTATACGATTTATAACAAAATTTTTTTTTGGAAATTATCTATTTTTTTTAATAACCTTTTTTTAATAAAAAGTGGTACCTGTAATAAATTTGGACTAGAGTATGAACGCTCTAAATTGCCTCCCATTGATGAATTATCCGTTTTCAAAGGTTCCTTATGAGTGTCATTTTCATTTTCTTTCGTTGATAATTCTTTGTAGTTATTTTTCATAAATTTTCTATACACAAAAAATGTATAATATAGTATATTAAGCAATTTTAACTCTAGATTTTTATACTTACTCGCGTAATTTTTTTCGGTCGGCCGAAGTATCTTTCATTCGCCGTTTTAGTGAAGCAAGAGTAAGTTCAAGATTTCGTTTTTCAATTTCTTCTGCAGAATTAAATTTAATCGATTCCATTTTCGTATAATATTTAGTGAGGTCATCTTCAAATTTCTTATATTCTTTTTGCTATGAAAATGTTTATTCAATTAATTATCAATTGTTTATTCAATTACAATGTCTAAAATAATATGTTACTAATCTAATATATTCCTCACCTGTTCTTCCAATTTTAAACACAATGATTTCACGTTACTATTGATATATTCTTCCTCATTTGTACCCTTATACTTAATACCATGTTGCATATACAAAGTGTGTTCCTGCTCTAATATTTCTTGTTCCAACTCTTGTTTATTCTTTGCTAACTCATTTAACTGTTTCATTAACTTCAAAACTGCTTTTGATTCAGAAGTAGACGTATCCAAAGTAGTTGGTTTGCTACTTCTATCTACTTTTGGTTTTACAGGGATATCACTCTTCTTTATAATGCTCAATGTTCTCTTATGTTGAAGCTTCAGTGAATTATCGTATTGTCGTGAATTCAAATTGTTTTTAGGAACTTTTTCTATTTCAATAGAATTATTCATTAAGTTATTAGAATGTATAGAAATATTATTACTCATTTCTGAGTTCATGTGTTTGTACCACATTTTATCATTTGTAATGTTAACTTTTGGCGTAGGTTCGTTCAGATTTACTGGTTTCAACTTATTTGATTTATTTTCACGCAATTTAATAATGTTTTCTTCCTCATCCAAATGTATCCAGTCAGGATACTTTATATTATCCAATACTTCATTTGGGACGTCGTTTAAACTAGGCTCTGCGATATTAGGATTTGTTGTAAATGCAGGATAACGAGTTATCCATTCTGCGTAACCACCGTCTAGAATTGTAATTCTTTTGTATTTTATACCGGGATCCCAATCTTCTAAAATTTTTCTTAAAATATTTAAGTGATTTTCGGATGTTAATGTTTTACTCGATGTATCCCAGTCAATTAAAATTATAACATCAACATATCGAGCTCCCCTATGTCTGAATAGATCTAAAGGTTTCTTATCTTTACGAAGATATTCCTCAAAATGGGATGTTAATGCGCTGAAACACAAGATTTATTATTTAAAAGAATTAATTGCAATACAATACTATTTTTCATTAAGATAACAATATTTACCTACCCAGGTTTTATTATATTATTTGGAATATTAACAGAGTTGTCAGATAATATTCTTGAGGCATCAAACTCTAACTTGGGTCTTATGTCAATGATCAAATATCTATTATCTACTTTTTGCATTAATTGAAATAGCTGATCACAGTTAATAATTTCTTCATTATCACTAACCAATGGATCCCTAGTCGGTGTTTCAGGTAATTTTATAGGTCCATCAACAGAAGACATATAGGTGTCTGTTCCCGCTTCATTATCTACATCCATCTTTTCCGTGCTATTAGATTTTTCCAACATCTTTTCTTTCAACTGGAGTTTATACCGTACATCTAACCTTCGATTTAAATCTGCAAGTACCTTTTTTGCTTCATTGATCTATAAGAAACATACACAATAGTTTATTTGCTTATATTAAGTATCTAAAATCAATGTTCATGTAGCACCTCACAACTTTACATTTGGAATACCTTTATCTGTGAATGATAAGTTTAATAAAGCATACGCCACTCCCCACCTGATTGACATTCATATTTGTTAAGGAGAATGTTTTGTCATCTTTATATTCCTGTGTATTTTTCAACCATTCGATGCAATTTAACCATCTCCTTAACATGATGTACTGGTTCTCCTCATCCCCTTGTTTTTTGGCATTTTCAGCAACATTATACATATTAGGGAGCCTTTTATAAATATCAGATGGTCTTTTTCCTTTATAATTAATTACAGCCATTTGCAATAGATCTTTTACATTGGTATAATGTAAGGGTTTCTTTTCAGACATTTTGGTGACTGTCACTATTAAACACCTCAAACTTAAATTTTATAGTGCAATTAACACTGTTTTATATTTTACTATGTCCTATAAAATAATAAAAAAAATTGATTAACATAGAGAATTATAATAAATACTACGTTTGAAAAAATAGATTATTTTATATTTAAAATAACAGATTAAAACAAATATTTGTGTTCGAGTTACAAAATTTGTATAGGTTATAAATTACAGTCAAAATATATGTTGTGTTAAACTAGCATAATTAACAAAGAAGCCACTAATGTGATTGAGATTGGTTACCTTTTCACCATGACGGTCTGTGATGCGGATAAGTACATAAAACGTAATATTTTTATTTCTCACGATATTAGAAAAAGAATAGTATGAAGTGACATTCCTGTTTATCAATAGAAATGTCAATATCTTGTAAACACTTTAACCGTCAATAAAATTTTCTACTTAAATGATGCACTACCGCTTTTCTACATCCTAGAAACGTGACGTTTATTGTACCAAACTTTGGCGCCCTCTGACGCACTTTGCATGAAAAACCTTCGATATTTCATATTACAAAGTTTTTGGTTGTGTATTAACTAATGCGTCGGATGCCACGTGGGTCATCAATGATTCACGCTAAGCAAAAAGGGACGTTTTCATTGGACAAACTCATCTTTCGATTTAATACCAAAATGAAATACAGATGACAAAAATAATATAATCTGTAAAATTGTTATTTTTATAATTTCACATACAAATTAAAAATTCGTAATTTAATTTTAAACGTATTGATAGACATTTTTAATAGTACATGATATTTAGTGCGTAAGGTGGATATTTTTCTATTGATTTTAACTTCAAAAACCTCTCGAAAATTAAATTTTATAGTAATATTATCATAACGTTACATAATTATCCTAAATAAGTAATAACCATCGAATTTAATATATTTAGGTAGCACTTTTGAAAATATTAAAATAATTTCCAAAAAATTAATAAAATATTAATGTATTTAGCCACAGACGAAACATAGAATAGACCTATCACTCACTAATTTCTTTGTTTCATGGCTCAGAAGTTCGTGAATCCTTTATCATTTTAGTGTCATTTTCAGTGTTATCGACTAAGTACAGAATAAGATAACAATATTACCAGCGGTTGGAATTAAAACTAAATGTGACTGTGAAATTACGAATAACATCATACTTTGTATACGAAAACCAAAAACAAAATTCTATAACATTTGTTTATTTTTATTTAAACCTATGATTTAATTATTAATGTAAAATATGTCATAATGATTGGCCAGAAGAATCATAAAGCATGCGACTCACCGATCGTAGATCGCTTCGTGCCATCAGAGCAGTTTACGATTGACAGTTGATCTCGTCCACACATCAGTGTTGTGATGTATTTCCCTGGCACTAACTTCAAGATAGTAATGTTCTATTTCATTGTAACTTCTCTCCTTCTCTAAATGTTTCACCATACACACCCGCGACGACGCGAATATGCGACCGAATATCCTAACGCTATAGTCTATTTCTATGTTGAGTCAATAACGTTGGTAGTGACACTTCTCAACGGCCGGTAAAAGAAAATGTGCTAATTTTTACAACAATAAATAAGAAATATAATAACTATAAATGTCTCAAATGCACAAAAACCCCTTATCCTATGATTTAGGTTACGATGGCGCGTGGCACAATTAACAACACAGTTGGTCACGCGTCGAGCCATTTCGTCCGAACGCGACGAAGAATAACACGTAACTGAGCTAGAAACACATCGACCTAAATTAACTATGAGCCTGACCCGTGCTGTTTTCGTTAGACTCTACCTACAGCCAAGGTTCTCGCACAATTCATACACGATATTGTAGGCGAAGGCGTTAAGTATGGCATTGATTTTTTCAACCTCACTTTATTACGAAACTATAATATAGATCTATTCTATATCCAATACACGAGTAAACATAAAGAATAGTTTATCATATACCGATAATGATGGTTTGACGGAATAGTTCAAACCTTTGTTACTAGATACCGACATTAGTCATCAAAAAGTTGCATAACAATTATATTGTATTTTTACGGACAAATAAAAATAAAAATTATGTAACATTACAGAAATATATAAATATGTAAATACATTTATATGTAAAATAACAGCTATGCTTTACTAATCTCTATATTACTTATATGTATTGTATACTTTAAAAGATTATTTAATTAAAAGATTATTAAGTTTCCAGCTATCTCTAGTCTGTACGCGAATTTTTAATTGCATTTTACTTTCATATTCTACATAAAAATTCATTTTGTTTGCATGTCTCATATCTTTCTTATTATGCGAGTGCTTTTAAGAATTGTTTATGAAACGTACATCGTATTTTTCAATTCGCGTATCGCACATAAAGATAGTAATAAAATAAATACATATATGAAAATGTGGCAAATGTAACTAATGTATATGTGTAATTTTGTATTTCGTTAACAATCTAATTAACATACATAGTGATAAAAACATGCCCATTTTTCGGCAAGGAAAGCTATGCTTTAAACAAATTTATTCCAAATGTGAATGTGCCAAGATTTGAAAAATCATTTCATTATAGGTTAAGACTACTGAAATTATTCACGCCATTAACGCAATTAATATGAGTAAATATGATTCACGTAATTCACGTAATTAACACGATTCTCGCGACACGAGAATTAACACCATTAAAATAACAAGTAACAACAGTGACGAATAACAAAACACTGCAATTCGTGATAATAAGGTCTTACTAACCTTCGAATGCGTTTCCAAACAAGTGTGGTATTAATCTCTTTAAGGTTAGGAATATTTAAAATGCGTGAAACGCATTCCCTATCAATTGATTTTCAATGAGAATCAGCCAGTGACAAATCGTAGAGAGTTTATCTATTGCGGTGCAAGACAAATTGACGTAGCGTAGCCGAAGGACCCTCTTAGGTACATCGGTGGCTGACAAACTGGTCAAAGCCCTCTTACAACCCTCTCGGCTGCCAAATTATCGGACTCCTGTGGACAGCAAACCCATTTATACTGTCCACCAACTAAGACGTACTAGGTCCGGGGATAAAGACGATCTTGCAAGACAAGACGGACCAATCGGTAATCGACCAACGGAACAGTGCGTTTATCGACGAAACTTTAAAGTAACGACTAACAGGTTAAGAGCCCCTTTGTCTTGATTAGTATCGACTTATGCATTTATGATATTTCGATAGTTCTAGTTAAGGTTAATTAAATTCCTTCATGGTGAAATTGAATAAAACTAGGGCTAGTGCTTTTATTTTACTACATGTATATGTATATTGTATTATGTTGTTATTACCGTTATTGACAATTTTTATTATGTTATAGATATGTATGATGTACGATATTTTGTTAAATAATTTCCAAATGATTTTGATTTAAAAAATTTACAAATTCCACATTTTCCTTGTAAATATAGCTGTGAAAGAAACTCGAGAAGATTTTACTTTTCGGAAATGGCCCCAGTTAATGACGCGACTGCTACAGGCCGGCGTACGAGACAAGAATAATGAGATACGTAATTCCGGGCCATGTTACGATGTTATAAAGTATATCGTGAAACGACTTTGTGATCAAAACGTAGTTAAGGAGCGTGCCGTTCGAGATTGCAAAATGCTTTCATAAAGGCGAAACCGATCTTTATAAATTAACGAGATAAATTGTTTCAGCTCCAAAAAAGAAGATATCAATTTTTATTAACAAGATATAAAGAGGATTGTACAATTACAAGGATCTTAATAAATATATAATTTTCTCAAAAATTGTTCTAAGAAGCCCGATGCCTAAAAATATTTATTCACCAAATTTCAATTCACCAGGATTTGCGTATTAGAAAATAGAACGATACCATTTATCAATGTTGAAAAACGAATGTATTTTTCAATAGTCCATATTAATTGTTTGAAAGAAGTCTCGAAGCAATGATTTTCATTCTCACGCGGGAATCAGAACAGAGGATCCAAGGAAGAAGGTAAAGAGATTGGGGCTTAAGCCGGCAACAATATGGCCGAATGGAATGGAGTGAAACGGCCGGGCTGTCGGATGGAGTGAGTACGGTCGACAGTAGTTGGTGGGCTATAATAACGTATAAAGTAATTAAGGACATCGGGCGACAGCCTGGAAAAGGGTAGGGAGCCGGACGAAGCGGGGAGGGGAAACGGACAGTTTAGGGAATGCGACATTTACATAGTAATTAAATCGCGGGAGCAAGTGGGACCGTTGGGGAAGATACTGGTGCTCGAGCAATTACAGACGCATTAGATTGCGGTAAGCACTTGTTTATGGCCTACCCAGCGTCGCTTCACTTGACTACTCGATTCTGTTCACTCGTTCACCTCGTAGTTTCACCTTTATACACGTCGACTTTTTCTGCGCTCCCTCTGTCTTTCGAACGATTAACTAATGCTGATCGTATCGGTATTACCGATCGAGGAAGAGCAGTGAAGTTTTTTCGTCTGAGACGTTCGTTGATCTTTACTCTTTCGATAAATGCTTAGCCAGTTGAGAAGTGAGTTTGTTTGTGGTTAGGAATGAAAATAACCTGTGTTTTGGATATTTTGATTTTAGAGAGTCAGAGGTTAGATCGACCGGGATTAAGAGACACGACTGTGAATTGGCAATTAATTTTTTTTTTTTTTTTTTTTTATAATTCCGGATACATATATGATAATATATATATGATACAGGTCTCGAGATTCACTAAAGATGAAATGTATTCACGTTTCGATATTAATATCCAAATTGCCAGCAATTTTGGCAAAGATACAAAGTATTTTAAGAAGAGCCAATGGTTGGAATTTTATTATCCCATAACGGTGGAATGATAGATTTCATGCATCTGACACATATGGTAATATATGCATGGTATAATTCTTGAGATTTATAATTCTTCGAGACGAGATGTATTTACGTTTTAATGTCAGTATCCAAATTTCCGGAATGCGAGCAATTTTGGCAAAGATACAAAGTAACCTAAGGGCCAGAAAGTAAGTTACTAAAATCAGTGACTGTTATTTCGCAAACTAAACTATTACCTTTTCCTAACCTCTACAATGGACGTGCATCTCTACCAATCTACTCAAGGTTCTTTATTTTTTAATCTGCTTTATCTGTATTCCTTGCTTTCGCTCACGAATTGTATCTGGTTTTCAGGCAAACAAAATTGGCAACCAAGCATCGTGACAGGCGAATTGCAGCTGTCTCAATTAACTAATTGAAACGATCGTTTTATTCGTTTCGATCATAAACAAAGCCCGGTGCCGGTTCTATGGTAGGACGGGCGATTCGATGGAAATGAAATTTTACTTAAAAGCTCTATCGCTGCGAGATGAAATGGCAGCCAGTGTAAGGGTGCGATATTCAATTAGCGAGCGGCAACAACGATGACACACGGTTGTCTTCGCGCGACGCTAACTGAACTGGAAAGGACCCTTGGGGATGGCCAGCTGTTAGC